TACCTCTAAGTCTGAGTCCAGTCAAAAATGAGGTTACCTGAGTAACAAGTAAATAAGAACAAACATTAAAACAAACAAACGAAAAACAACCCTTAACCTCCTCGGGCTCTAAAAGAACTGGGCCAGAGACTCACTACTAAGAAATTTGTTCTGCAGCTTTCAACAAGCCTAAAGGCTGTGCCGGAGTGACGTCAGAGGGGACGTGGAGGCCTATGGGAAATGTAGTTCTGAAGCTTCCAAATAAAAAATCTTGCTTCCAAATAAAAAATAAAAGCATTCCATCTTTTTGACTAGGTGTACATGATATTACTGCAAAAAATAAATAATGCACACTGAGTATTTTTCTGATAAATTAATCTGAACGAAAAACTGGCCTTCCTTTGATATAATCTAATTCAATGAATCCTCGGTTCTTATTTCTTTGTGCTGGTCAGGACACATGCACCGTTGATAACGAGTGGAGAAAACTGTATGTTTACTAGGCTGACTCCTGTAAGACACAGGCCCAGCGTGTGGCGTGGGGAGTGTATGTAGCAGCTGGGAGCAGGCCAGGTCTTGTGACCCCACCTTTTCTCTTTTTAAATATATTTTATTGATTTTTTACAGAGAGGAAGGGAGAGAGGTAGAGAGCTAGAAACATCGATGAGAGAGAAACATTGATCAGCTGCCTCTTACACACCCCTAGTGGGGATGTGCCCACAACCAAGATATATGCCCTAGACCGGAATCGAACCTGGGACCTTTCAGTCTGCAACCCGATGCTCTATACACTGAGCCAAACCAGTTAGTGCCCCACCTTTTTTCTATCCCCTCGGCTGAACCTCAGTTCTCCACACTCTGCCAGGAGCCCCAGAAGATGAACATACGTCAGGGGAGCTCCTTGTCCATTCCCCACTGTGTTTTGTAATTTTTTATGAGGTTTAGAGGGCTCTGCGTTACATGGAAAAAAAGAGAAATAGAAATAGATCCAGTCAATCTTGGGGAAATATTTTTCTATTTCACTGTAAGCTGTGATGTTTGCTGTCAGCTCTTGGCAGGTGAGCTTTGTCGGGGTAACTAGGTCCCCTTCAGGTGCTAGTTTGCTGGGATTGGATTTAAGTCATGAAAGTGCATTAAACTATATTGAATAACATTCATGTATCTATTGAAATAAAGTTATACTTATTTCCTTTAATATGTACATATTTTAAACAATATAGTGGGTTTTCTGATATTAACTTGAATTCCTATATAAACCCTAGATGCAAATAGGAATTCAAGTTAATATTAGAAAACATTAAGTGGCTTAATAGTAAAGGACAAAATACGGCCCAGTCTGAAACCTGGAAGTCTGGGTTTGAGAGTCTTCACCTTTGGTGCTGGCCATTAGTGACTTTTCACAAATTTTCCTGAAAGCTTTTTGCTGATACTATATTTAGGATTGTTTTCTTTTTGTATTCACGAGTGCATTGGTCTATACTTTCTTCTTTTACTCGAGATATAATTGACATTAAGTTTAAAGTGCACAGCCTGTTGGTTTTATATATTTACGTATTATGTATGATTACTACAGCAGCATTAGCTAGCACTTTTATTGTATCATTTATTGCTATTTTTGTGTGTGTTGAGGACTGTTAAAAATTAGTTTCTTCGCAACTTCTGAAGCATGGTAGCAATCATCTCGGGTAAAAACTGCGTTTAATTTTTAACCCTGCTGTTCTGGCTTCTGTACTTACTTGCTTGCTAAAATAATAGAGAAGTTATTTTGATTTTCTGAACTTATATATCGATAAATCATCCCATTCGATTGAATACCCCATTGATGGTGGTTTTACTGGTCTTTCAAAACACATTCCTCTGCACCTGGAGTCCAGGACAGCTCAATTGCTTTAATTGCTTCAGTGGCTCCAAAAAATGTGTTTTCCGTTGTTTTAGTGACTCCAAGACCTAAAACTGTAATTAATCTTTGTAGATAACTAACTTGCTCAATTTAGCTTTTGTAACTGCTTTTTGAAAACCAGATTCCTTATTCCAAACCTAAAGATGTAATCAATACCTTTGCAATGTTTGCCTATATAAGCCTGATGTTACTGACATTCGTGGCTGCGAGCTGTGGAGCCGCAGTCGCCGGCTTTATTGATTAAATGACTCATTGATTTGTTTTTTTGTCCTGTGTATTACTCGCGGGGTACATTTCCACACTTCCAATGTATAGTACAGTGTTGATTGTATCACTGTGTTGTTCAAGAGGTCTCCAGACTTACCTACCCACCACTGTGCGCTTTAGACTGGGCTTTGTTGTGTCCCTTTCCAGTCATGTCAGCATGTTCATAGCCTTGTGAAAGGAAATGGCCACTTTCCTGCTCCTTTTCTCTTCTAATAACTTCGTGGGAAAGCTGTGTTATGGCTAGACTTTATAAAACTTACCTATAAAGTTGGGCCTTGGGAGGACTTTTTGCATGGACATTTTGATGAGTACTAATTTTTTCCTTCATTTTCACATGAGGATATTTTTCCACTGCTTTTCAAAGAGAGTAGGGGAAGGTTGGGAGAAAGAGAAAAACATTGATGAGATAGACATATCCACTGCTTGCCTCCCGCACGCACCCTGCTGGATGAGTGCGGAGAGAAACAGCAACTGAGGGATGCGCCTTTGACCAGGAATCAAACCAATGACCCTTCAATGCATGGGCCAACGCTTAATCATTGAGAAGTATCAGCCAGGACTTGATAATTAAATTAGTTTGTTAGTGATAAGTCTACACTGAATTTGTATTTTTTTTCTTTGTATAACATTTCTCCTTGCATCTTTATAGAAAGCTTTCATTCTTATTTCATTTTAAAATGTATTTTCATAAAGCTTGTGATAGTATTCTCTTAGGAACCCAAGGTCTTCGTCTGTGTATCAGGAGCTTTCTCCTTTGATTAGTTTCAAATTTTATTTTAGTGCAAAGCCTGCTAATAGCAAAGGACAAAAGACAGCCCAGTCTTGAACCAAGAAGTCCGGGTATGAGAGCCTTTTACCTTCTGTGCTGGCCGCAGACTCTCAGTTTTGGGAGCAGAAGAACATACACTGCCATGTTTATCCCTCTGCCTTTGCATCCCCACCTGTCAGCACCATTTGTTGATAATACACTTTCCACATTGCATTGCCTTGGCCCCCTCTGTGGGAACTCAGCTAGTAAACCACATATGGCTCTATTTCTGGACTCTCTTCACTTCCTTTGATCTTTATTAATCCTTTTGCTAATGCCATATTGTCTTGAAGAGTGTCTCCTTACTGTAAGTCTTAAAAACAGGTAAGGTAAATCTTGCAACTTTATCTTTTTAAAAGTTGTTTTGGATATTCTAAGTCCTTTGTCTACAGAAAGTTTTTTCTGTCAGAAAGCCTGCTGAGCTCTTCATCTGATGGCATGGAATCTGTTACAGCATCTCTAGTCTGCTTTGGTTTGGGGAGCATTCAGATTGGTCATGCTGAGTGTTCCAGGTCATGAACACACTATCTCTCTCCACTCAGGAAGGTGAGTTGAAGGTTTGGAGGGTTTGGGTTTTTATCCATTGGTGTTGAAGGGATGGTGTTGACTTACAGTTTAAGAGAATAACCTGTCTGTCATTGCAGACCGACACTAGCAGGGCAGGGCTGGAGGCTGGAACACACAGGAGTGTTTCCGCTCTCCCAGCTAGAGTTGGACTACCGCCTGGCCCCCCATATCGCCAAATTGAATTTCTTCAAGTCTCTTTTCATTTGTGTGCAGCCCTTCTCCAGAACCTGAACCCCGAATTGGAACCCTTTCCACACGGGACGTGAAAGAGATTCCTACAGTAACAAAAACAAAAATTTTATTCAATTACTAGCTCATCATTAATCTTGAGAAACAAAAGCATTTGATTTTTAAATATTAAACATTCACTTTCATTTTGTTGTAATTCTTGTTGCCCCAACTGTTCATTACAGAAGGCATATAGCACGTGTCCTCACTGAGTTCCTTGATCTACGGATGGGTGTGATGGTAGCTTATTCTTACACTGTTGTACCCTATTCTTACACTGTTTTAGCCCTTAGACATAAGTCACAGGTTGTACTTTATGCCGTAGCCTTTAACTCTCCCCTGCAAGGCCTTGGAGTTGGACAAGGACTAGCCTTCTCTAATTCCCTAAGGGCAGCCCATGGCGTCAGTGTCTAGTGTCAGCCTGCTGGAGTTATTCACTTTCTTATGAACTCAGCTTTAAAAATGATGCTGTTTTTTCTCTGTAAAATGATGATGATGATGATGATGATATCAATTCTATAAAGCTAACATACTGTATGTAAAGCATTTGAAATAGTATCTGGCAAATAATTAGCACCATATATGTGTTAGATGTTATTCTTTTATCCAGTATTCTATGTATTTATTGCAGGAAGGTTTTAAGGTACTTTGAATCCAGTATATTATTGGATGTGGAAAATCTTATATAAAAGCCTAATAAGCAAAGTGTCCAGTCAACAGGTCAGTCATTGAACCAATCAAAGCATAATGTGCTAATGATATGCCAAGGCCGCTCAACCACTCACTATGATCTGCACTGACCACCAGGGGGCAAGTGCTCTCACCGGTAGGTGAGCTGCTGCCGGGGTTCTGCAGATCAGGACTGAGTGAGACGAGACAGGCCGGACACGCCCTGGAGCCCTTCCACAGTCCCTCCCTGGCCCTGTTCGTACACTGGTGGGGTCCCTCAGCCTCCCCTGTGCCCTCTCACAATTTTGTGCATTGGGCCTCTAGTGTTTATATATTTTATACACCTATTATAAGTTTAAACATTTGTTTGGATAGGCAGTTTACCACTGTATTGTAAATGTAACTATATTTCCCTGAAGTCACATAAAGAACATTTATATATTTTAGAAGAAATGTGTACATTTGTAAGTATATAAATTTTATGTAAGCTACGACTCAGCAGTTTTAAGTCTAAAATCAGCAAAGGGATCTGGGTTACCACCAGCCTTTCCTTATTATAAAACATAGCACAAAATTGCTTAATTTTCAATTTTATGAGCAATTTTATTTTTATTAAGAACATGATTGTGCAGTATATGTACATGAAAATATTCAAATATTTGGATACTTTAAATATATATTTTTGTATGACTTCATATGCTAGATAAAAAATTGTAAATTCAATGCAGTATTATACTTGCTAATAATTACCAATATAGGGCATGGTAAAAGTAGGTTTACAGTTGTGAGTATACAAAACAGAGTTTATTATTTGTAATTATTGTATTCTTTTCCATATGAGCAACTATAAACCCCTACTTTTGCTCCATCCTGTATTTAACTTGGAGATAATTTTTATTAGAATTTCTGGGATATTTCATATTAAGATTCTAGAAAAAATAAAGAATGACAATCCACTAAGTAAAAAGAATAGTATTTACTATTTTATGGCTTTTAAAATTTTATTTGGCCCTAGCTATTTTGGCTCCATGGATATAGAGCATTGGCCCACAGATTGAAGGGATGCAGGTTCAATTCCGGTCAAGGGCACATACTTCGGTTGCAGGCTCGATCCCCGCCCAGGGTCAGGGTGCATGCGGGAGGCAACCAATCAATGTGTCTCTCTCAATTAATGTTTCTCTCTCTGTGTCTCTTCCCTTCCATACTACTCTCTCTGGAAATGAATGGAGAAAACATTCTCAAGAGAGGAGTAACAAAGAAAAAACACAAAAAAGTTTTATTTGTATAAATAAAATTTGTTTAAAACTTTAAAAGCCATAAAATTATAAATATACATCACATTTTTGACAATCAATGCCTCTCAGCTTGCAGTTTAACTGGTACATGTCTCTGTGTTTTCAGAACTCCTCAACGGCTGACAAACTAGACACTACTCAAGGATACACATGCCAACATTTTGCGCCATGTCTTGAGGGTCCATTTGAATGTGACAGTCTGTCTGTCACACATGGATAACTGAAGGTCTGCCTGTGAAGTCCACCTGCTGGACTCCCACAAGCTGTAAAACAGAGTTGATGGGTTTGTGATCCAATCTGTTGCTGTCACGGTGTATAAAATGGATGTCATGACCTAGAAGGCAATCAGAATAAAAGGCAGAGGTTGGCACACATTATTACCTATTGGATTTATTGCTTACTAGAATTAAGGATGCTTGTCAACTTTTAATTAGTTCACAGGAAAAAATTAATCACCCAGAGTACATTATATTTTATGTGTAGTGCCATAATAATTTTAAATTAAGGTAATAAAGCATGACAAGAATGTGGTTAAATAAGAGTGATACTTAATGTTTATGAGATTCAAGGGGCACCATTCTTAAATTATGACCTTGTATTAGGTTATAGTTAAATAAAATATCCCGTCAAACAGGCAGAAAATGAAAATGACATAGATAGCAAGCTAGAAAATCACATCTGTTTCTGAAATGTAATAATGGAATAAATCACTCGCTTAAAAATGTTCACTCCCCAATACTGATTTACGAGGCTGTCTGCACACTGGCCGGTGTAGCTCGGTGGCTGGCGCTGTCCTGTGCACACTGGCCGGTGTAGCTCGGTGGCTGGCGCTGTCCTGTGCACACTGGCCGGTGTAGCTCGGTTGGCTGGCGCTGTCCTGTGCACTGAAAGATTGCCCACACTATTCCCGGCCAGGGCACAGGCCAGGGCACAGGCCAGGGTTTCATGCTCCATAGTGGGCGTGCAGGGTAGCCATTGAGGTTCCACTCTCACATCGATATTTCTCTCTCTCCCACTCTCTCTAAAAATAAAAAGATATTTTTCTTTTCACTTTGCAAGTATCTTTTTATTTTCCTGTTATTTTTATTTGTTAAAAAAATTTTAATGTTGACATTATTATAGGTGTTCCCCTCCTTTGTACATCTTCAGCCACCCCCCAAATAAAAAATATTTTTAAAAAGGCTATCTGCATTATAACTGCAGACCAAAGGAGCTGAAAATAAGGACATTAAAACAATCACTTCTATGTCTACAATTCTTTGACTGCTCAAATATAAATAAGTCATAATTTATAGTCCAGTTCTGTTTATTTATATTCTTGGGCTCAAGATGAGAATTTTAACTTAAAACAATAAATTAAGGAAACATTATTAGAGGCATGTCTTTTGCACTGTACTTATCTGCTATCTTTAGTCATCACTAGAGATTTAATATCATAAACTGGCTTATTATCAAATAATACAAATAAAGCAAATGAAATACTGGCTTAACCATGATACAGATGTGTATAAACACACACACCTGGCTTTTTCCTTAGATGAGCTATTTCCTCCAGGAGGTAGCATCAAAATCTCCTAGTAAGTGGTTCCCAACTTGGACACAAAGGACACTCTCCCTGCGCTCTCATCCTTACACACTGAACGTGGGAGCCGGTGGCACCGAGACATGGAGAGGAGGGGCTCAGAAAACACCATCCAACCTGAGGACAGAAACCAGTCCATCGGAAACGTGGCTACTGTTGTTCCGGGTGAATTATAGGACTCCTCATAAACACAGCTTCATCTCGCGGGTCTAACTGGTGTGCACCGAGAGGGAAAGGGAGCTTAAGTAACAGAGTTTAGCTTGTATAATAGTGCTCCACACACAACAGGCCCCAAAATCATACTGTTTGGACAAAAATCTTCTAAGTTCCTTCTAGCTATATAGAATGGATTAAAGTAAGTGTGAATTTTATAACTCTTAGAAGCTACATTCACTAACCAGGACCATTTTAAAGAGGAAGAACCCAGAAAACAGTTTATAACTGCTTTTTGGCACTGTCACTGTGAGTGTTTGTCCCTGACTGCAGTCCTGGGAGGTGGCCGAGATTCAGTCTTCACATACTGAGCAGAGCGAAGCCAAAGGAGTTCCAAGTGCTCCAAACTGATCAATAAAGCCGTGGAAGCATGGGCTTTTGTAACTGTTATTGAATGCGCTGTCTCTGGGGCCGATGTGCTTTTCGAATGGACCAAATCTCCTCATTTTGTTAGAGAGAACTAATTACCCAGGTTCACTCATCTACTGACCCAAAAAAGTGCTGATGACTTTCTCCTACTTGGAATGTTCACCTCCACTGAACTTCCTTCCCCCCGCCCCCCGCCCAATCCTCACTCAAGGATATGTTTTTATTTATTTTTTAATGGTTTTATTGATTTTCAGGGAAAGGGAGGGAGGGAGGGAGAGAGAGAGAGACAGAGAGAGAGAGAGAGAGAGAGAGAGAGAGAGAGGAATAACAATGATGAGAGAGAATTATCAATTGGCTGCCTCTTGCACCCCCTTCCCCCACTGGGGATAGAGCCCAAAACCTGGGCATATGCCCTGACCTGGAATTGAACTATGACCTCCTGGTTCATGGGTCCACGCTCAACCACTGAGCCACATCAGTGAGACCAAGGATTTTTTTTTATTATTATTGATTTGAAAGAGAGGCAAAGAGGGAAATATCAATGTGAAAGGGAAACATCCATCAGTTGCATACCATACACGCACCGACCAGGGATCGAACCCATAACTATGTATGTGCCTTGAGCATATATCTAATCCACAACCCTTTGGTGTACAGGATGATGCTCTAACCAATGGAGCCACTGGCCATGGCTTCCATTGAGTTTCTTTCAAGTGTTATAGCCACTTAGAGTCCACCAAACCACCGCTGACTTCCTGTCCCAAATACCTGAAGACCCTGGGGCCTAGAATGATGGGCACATTACATCCAAGAGACAGACATCAAAATACACACAAGCCTTTGAAAGCACAAAGTGCCCCCGAGAAAGCACAGCATCCTGACGGCTGCCGTGGCAAGCTGCCCATTTTTACGTGCTCGCTGTTTTACGAAGAAAGCAGGTAGCCCCTGGACTTCTAAAGCGCACGAAGTGCCCTTTGGGTCTGGGCTTTGATGCTTACCTGGACCTACAATGAGGGTCCCGCCTTGCTGAACTGGATCTCCTTGGAAATCAAACAGAGGGCCGGTCACCGCCCGCCACAGGCTCCAAACGCTTCCTGAGAGGATGTTTGACTTTATATGGGGGCTCGGTCCTGAAAATTTAGAAAGTGTCTTTAGATGCTATCAGTTTACATTCGATTAGATATTAAAAAGGTAACGTTGCTCCTTCTCTTTTTTGTGTGTCATCTTAACTTTTGTCTATTTTTCCTTCAAAGAACTGTTTCTCAGCCTTCCAGTACTGATGCTTCAGACGAGATCATTCTTTGTCCTGTGTGATGTTGGGTGCGATGTTGGGTGCTTAGCAGCCCCCTTGCCATCTACACCCACTAGATGACATGGCACCCACTACCCTCCAAGTTGTGATGAATGAAAATTCTCCAGACAAAGTCAAATGTCCCCTGGGGGCAAAAGTGTCCCTGGGTGAGGATATCTTTTTAAACTTTTTTATTTCTTGACTTTAAAGAAAAAGGGAGGGAGGAGAGGACAGAAGGGAGAGAGGGACGGAAGAAGGGGGGGGGGGGGAGAGAATTGTTCCACTTGTTCATGCATTCATTGGTTGATTCTTGTATGTGCCTTGACCAGAGATCGAACCTGCAGCTGTGGCATATGGGGACGATGCTCTCACCAGCTGAGCTACCCAGCCTGGGCCAATTGCCTGATTTCTTAGTATTCCCAGATTCCTGTTATTTTCCTCCATCTCATGAACTCCTCCATTTCTTTCATATTTACATCAGAATGCAGTCATCTTACCAAGAAACAAACACAGGAGCATTCACTTGAAGACATGGGGAAAGGCTAAATTTTACTGTTTTATAGGATTCTTCACCTACAATAAATATTCAGAAATCGAAACTATCTCCTCCTGTCCAAGAAGAGGTCATTTGGTATTTCTGAATTGTTAGAACTTCAACTGAAGGAGGTTCCAGAGCCTAGAATTTAACAGTCTCTGCTGAGAAGCACACTCCTGTGGGATGCAACCAACGGATGTGTCTCTGTCACATCAATGTTTCTCTCTCCCCCCCCCTTCCACTCTCTCTAAAATCAATTGTAAAAATGTCCTCACTTCTCGGGTGAGGATTAAAATAACAATAAAATAAATTTATATAATAGTTGTATAGTATTTTTAGTGTGTTGATCCCAAGGAGGACTATTCTGAATTTGACTGAGATTTATACTGTTTCAAGAAGGAATTTTTAAAATTATAAGATCCTAATATTTTCTGTTTGGAAATATAGTATTTTTTATATAAGCCAAAGAGGCTTAAAAATGTGACTAGACCCACTCTTGTAATCACAGGATATGTTTTGTCTAGAATTCAAATCCTTATCTTGAGGCAATGCATGGGGAGGTGCTACTGAAGGGAAACTCACAGTTTACATCTAAAGTGCTAAGTGAGACAGAGACACACACACACTGAGACTCCATTGCAGTACCGGAAATCAGCCTATCCAAGAGTGAGTCCACACCGGCACTCTGAAAGTTCCTTCACTACAGAGAGAAAAGGTGCGAACTCAGTGTCTATGCCAGCTCACCAACAGCTTTCGTGAAGTTTAAGCTGCTTTCTTTAAAAGCATTAGAAATGGGTCATGTTAACTCACTCATAGTTTCCCAATCCGTCCCCTCCTGTGACCCACTCCTAGGACTTCAGGCCTCACTTCTTTCCCGCCCTTCATTACAACCTTCTCACACATCACTGGCTCTGGTGGTGGGTTCCAGTCCTTCCTCACCCTGGAGTGTGACTGCGTCATAACTTGTCACTTTAAGCACTTGTACGAGCCCCACCCGCACACTGCCTCCAGAACAGTCACTCCATACACCCCATGAATTGGCCCACATCCTGCCCCTTGGCTCACACCAATTCCCAAACTGCCTTTTAGACTCTGGCCAGATGCGCGGACCTGGACTTCCCCAGAGTGAGCTTAGCCTGGCCGGTGTGGCTCAGGGGATTGAGCTTCCTCCCATGCACCAAGAGGTCACTGGGTCCATTCCTGCAACTGACTGGGTACCATCATGAAAGCTATGCCTGCGTTGGGGACTTGATCCCCAGTAGGGGGCGTGCAGGAAGCAGCCAATCAATGTTTCTATATCTCACTCCCTCTCTTTTCCTCTCTCTAAAAAAAAAAAAAAAAATCAATAACATTTAAAAAGTGAGCTTAGACCACCTCCTCTGAGAAGCCTTCCCAGATACGCTCTCCCCTCACTCTTCTGGAGCAGGTATCCCCAGCACATGCTTTCCTCTTACAAACCCTCCACCTGGATCGGAATGAGCTGTTTGCTTCTGGCTCTCACGGCAGAGGATGTGCCAGAGGGCAGGGCTGTGTCTGTCCTCTACCACCACCCCCCGGAGCACCAGCACAGCAGTTGTCACTAGCCAGAGCTCAATAATGTTTGTGGAGATGAATGATCCGAGTTTGAGATCTCTTACTGGCATCTCAGGGCCAAGTTCTTCCAACCTAAACCGCAGATTAGCAGCTCACCTGGCGCTGGCCAAGCTCTATTAATTATAAAGAACTGTGCTAAGGGCAGGGAATGTGGACCACATAATGATGAATAAAACATCAAACTCTTCAACTAACTACACTCCCAGCCACTTTACACGCAGTAACTAAGTATACAAGGAATACAAGGTGCCGTTATATACAGCGAGGGGAGCATTTACTCCCAATCAAAGAGCTAGTGAGAGCCCCTTTGAGTTGGGCTTCAAATGAAACCAAGATTTCATCAATGAAAGGACATAAAGTATTCAAAGTCATGAAGATAAGGTATCTATATATATAAAACCCTAACATGCAAATAGACCAATTGGCAGAACTGAACAACCTAACAACTGGTTGCTATGACGTGCCCTGACCACCAGGGGGCTTGCGCAAAACATGCTGGGCATCAGCCGTGGCGGGATGGTGGAGCAGGTGAGTGGGGGCACCAGACCAAGATGGGGCACCGGTCGCTATCATCAGAGTGAGCCTCTGGTGGTTACTGAAAATTCTTTGCTCCCGTGCCCCGTGGTCCCACCAGATACTCATACCTGCCGTCGGCACCGACCCCACTTGTACCCAGTGCCAGCACCAGAGCCACCAATCGCACCCACTGCCAGCTTCTATTGCTCGGTGCCATCAGCAGGTGCGTGTGGCAGCTGCTGGCCCTGATTGCCTCAGATGGCTTCTCCACCTCCCCCTGCTCCTGAGGAGTGATGGGAGTAGCAGCCATCACTCACACCTACTGACGGTGCCGGCTCCACTTGCACCTGCTGCTGGCACCGGCCCTAATTGCTCCACACTGTCAGCAGATATGAGAGGAGTCAGTGCCGTCAGCGGCTGGGACAGTGGTGGCAGGGGCGGGGCTGCTGGCAGACAGGAGACAGGGGCAGTGGCAGAAGGAGGGGGGAGGTGCGCGCATAGGATGGGCTGAGACTCGCCCCTCTGCCCACCACAGCCTCACGGCTCACAGTTCCTTTCAAGGTGCAAGAATTCGTGCACTGGGCCCCTAGTAAAAATATATTAGTTTAAGCAATAATTTTCTTTTAACCGTAAAAGTAAAATGTACTCATTTTAAAAACACGTAAAAGCCATTTTTCTCACTTCTATTAGTCGGGGTTAGCACTGCAATATCTTTTAAAATATTTTCATCTCACACACACACACACACACACACACACACCACAGCACTTTATGCTTAGTACTTCTCAGCTTTCCATGTCATTACACCCCCAGAAAGGAATCTCTTAGGGTCTGGTGTATCTGGACCGTTTACAGGAATCATAAAAAAACAGTCTGAGTTATTAACTTGCCATTTGCTTCCCTAAGCATGTAGATTCAAATGTAAAAAATACATCATTAGTGTTTTCTACTTGAGACATGTCATGTGTAAGTTACCTGAGGAGGTAACTTCTTCACCTCTTTTCATTCCCAATCTTTTATAAATTTCTCTCTCAGGATCAACGTAGATTTCATGACAATACCCAGTCAGTTTGCAGAAAGGCTACAAAAAGAGAATATGTGAGATCTTTATAAGAAAAAAGTGAGAGAAAAGTAATTATAATATACCTTAATTTCAGTAAATATAACCTACATTTAGTGGTTCAAATCATATTCTTGCTATGTCTGTTAGTTTTAATCTGCTAATTTTTCAATTTGTTATACAGTTACCTCAATATGATGGTAGGATGACTGTCCAATCACTATAAGGGTGACATCTGCCTCCTTTAGGAGAAAAAACATAGGTACATGTAAATACTATTAGAAATTATGTTTCCTACAACTTCCCCTCATCATTCCATTCCAAAGCCTCTATAGGCTCCTGGAAGAATGGAATAAATGGGAAAAGTGTGTGAGTCAAAGAAATGTATGTAAAATGTTTCATTCTGATGATCTTTTGCTAAGTAAGAACTTTAATATAGTCAATAATTCCCTACACTCCCCCAAAGGTGTACTTAAAAAAAAAAAATAGTCCTGCAGTTAGCACCAAAAGGACGTGGGCTCAGTTCCCGCTAGGGGGCGTGCAGGAGGCAGCCTATTGATGTTTCACTCTCCACATGAGGTTTCTCTCTCCCTCTCTCTTCCTCTCTAAAATAAATCAATAAAAATATTTTAGCAAAGAATAAAAATGATTAAAGTAGCATTATTTAATCAGTTTTATTTTCTCACATCCCAATGGTAAGGTCTGGGGAACCAAGATCTGAGTTTTACAAAGGCTGCCCAAGGTCTTCACTTGAAAGCTCACCTGGGGACAAATCTCCATGTATGTGCCTGAGGAAAAACACACGTGTTAGGTTGTCATAGGGATGTGGAATGTGCACCCCATTACTAATACAATTTTTCACTTTTAAGCTATATTAGTATTTTCCTATAATGAACAACTATGTGGTGTTCTTATTACAAAATAAAGGAAAGAAATCTCAATAATTGCCAGCATTTGTGTTTTTGGTCATTATCATTCAACATTTGTGGATAGGCACGTTACTAGGTAACACCAAAAGCATTCCTGTGGTCAGCATGTTTAAAAGCCGGGGATGGGTCTCTAATGCGCCCCTCCCTTAGGGGGCGCTGGGGAGGCCGGGAAGCTGATAACAGGGATAAGCGGCTCCTCGCCGACCCCCGCTGCGCTGCTTATCAATGCGGCCACCGCACAGGGTCCGGAGGCGGGCACGCTGCTGCTCACGCTCAGGAGACTTACTTGCAAGAAACTCCTGGGGATTTTGGCCAGATCTTCCACGTACTCCTTGCAGGTGTAACACAGGAAATGCTGGGACCCCAACCGGCAAAAAGAACAAGTTAGCGACGGGCACCCTCCGGGTTCCGTAAAGACCAAGAGCTTCGTTTCGCACAACGCTAACCCAGCGCCCCGGTTGGGTGGAAAGGGCGCTAACCCAGCGCTCCGGTTGGGTGGAAAGGGCGCTAACCCAGCGCCCCGGTTGGGTGGAAAGGGCGCTAACCCAGCGCCCCGGTTGGGTGGAAAGGGCGCTAACCCAGCGCCCCGGTTGGGTGGAAAGGGCGCTAACCCAGCGCCCCGGTTGGGTGGAAAGGGCGCTAACCCAGCGCCCCGGTTGGGTGGAAAGGGCGCTAACCCAGCGCCCCGGTTGGGTGGAAAGGGCGCTAACCCAGCGCCGCGGTTGGGTGGAAAGGGCGCTAACCCAGCGCCGCGGTTGGGTGGAAAGGGCGCTAACCCAGCGCCCCGGTTGGGTGGAAAGGGCGCTAACCCAGCGCCCCGGTTGGGTGGAAAGGGCGCTAACCCAGCGCCCCGGTTGGGTGGAAAGGGCGCTAACCCAGCGCCCCGGTTGGGTGGAAAAGGTATCGGGACGCCCGATGCACTTTAAAGCGGGCCGCACCCGTCCCCTCGGCCTCCTCCGGCTGAAGACAGGGCCTCGCCGGCGCGGTCGGACGCCCCTAGTGGGCGGCCATGGGAAGGGCCGGGCGGAGTCCGCCGTGGACCCCGCCCTCCGGGGCCCCGAGGGTCTCCCCGCGCGGGCTGGGGAGGCCACCTCCACCCCAGCTGCGGCCGAGGTCCCTGCGCCGGTCGGGCCGCCGCCCGCGCTCACCCGCACGAAGACTACGATGGCCCGGCGCTCCCGGAACAGCGCGCCGAACGGCACCCGCCTCCCGTCCGCGTCCAGCACCGGAAGCCCGGCCACGGCGGCGGCCAGTGGCTGCCCGCGCGCGGGGCCGCTCGGGACCAGCGCAGCAGCGGCGGGGCCGCCCGGGACCGGGACTGTGGCGGTGCGGCCGCTGACCTGCTGTGTGATCGGGGCCAGGACCGGGGCGGCCATCGCGCCCTGACTTCGCGGGCCCGAGTGAGTGGGACACGGAGGCGCCGAGGTGGGCACAGGGTCATGGGGAGGCGGGGCTCAGCGGAGGGCTGGGGGGCGGCTTTGGGAGGCGGAGTGCGCGAGAGGCGGGGCTTGTGGGGGCGGGGCTTGTGGGAGGCAGGGCTTGTGGAGGCCGGGCGCAGCGGGAGGCGGGGCTTGCGGAGGCGGGGCTTGTGGGGCGGGGCTTGTGGGAGGCAGGGCTTGTGGAGGCCGGGCGCAGCGGGAGGCGGGGCTTGTGGAGGCCGGGCGCAGCGGGAGGCGGGGCTTGCGGAGGCGGGGCTTGTGGGGCGGGGCTTGTGGGAGGCAGGGCTTGTGTAGGCCCGGGCGCAGTGGGAGGCGGGGCTTGCGGAGGCGGGGCTTGCGGGGCGGGGCTTGTGGGAGGCAGGGCTTGTGGAGGCCGGGCTTGTGGAGGCCGGGCGCAGTGGGAGGCGGGGCTTGCGGAGGCGGGGCTTGTGGAGGCGGGGCTTGTGGGAGGCAGGGCTTGTGGAGGCCAGGCGCAGTGGGAGGCGGGGCTTGCGGAGGCGGGGCTTGTGGAGGCCGGGCGCAGCGGGAGGCGGGGCTTGTGTAGGCCGGGCGTGGCGGGAGGCACAGGGAGCCGGAAGCGGGCTGCTCATGGAGTGGGTCACTGGGTTGAGCTGCTGCATCCAGCGGCTCCGAGGTGAGGATGTGCGGCTTTCGGTTTCCACCCCGCCCCGCAGGTCTGGATGCCTGGGCGTTGCTGACAGAAACACTCCTGGTGTAGGAAGAGTAAGATGGGTCCAAGGCGAGACAAGGGTTATTTAGGAAGAAAGCAGTCTCTCCAACTGACCTGAGTTCTTTCTTAGGAGAACCAGGTGCCCAGGATTTCCTTACCCAGGACAACCATATATGGGATCCAATAGCATTGCTACTGTGTTAGCTTATATTCCGTTTTTAACCCAGTCCCTGCCACTTTCTTTCCCAAGTAATCATTAATGGTGTACATACAGATCTTAAGTGTAGAGTTACATTTTTAAAATATGCATATATATTTTTTTATTGATTTCAGAGAGAATGGGAGAGGGAAAGGGACATAGAAACATCAGTGATGAGAGAATCATTGCTGGGCTGCCTCCTGCATGCCCCACACTGGGGATCTGAGCTAGCAGCCCGCATGCGCCCTGTGGGGGAATCAATCCTGACCTCCTGGTTCATAGGTAGATGCTTAACCACTGAGCCACATCAGCCTGGCAAAGGGAACCAACCTTTTTATTCTTTCTTTAAAACTTGCCAGTCCATGTCATTGAGTATTTCTTTATGAAGTTAGTAAATAGTAAACAACCATTTAGTAAACAGATGAAGAAATAATGTTTCATCAGTTATGTAAAAGCCAGTTTGAAATGCAGGAATTCTTGAATTTAGGGAAACATTCTCATTTCATGTTGAATTGTAATCTAGTTGTTTGGATTGTTGGGAAATCCATCACTGAAGAGAAGTAAAGATGGTAAGTCTATTTGTTTACTTACTCATCCATTTAATAATCAACACTCACTTATTTAGCACCTATTATGTCGTAGGTCCAGTGAACTCTTCTGTTTGAAAAAAAAAAACTGGACAAACTGAGAGAAAACCACAGAGTTAAGTACGAAAGTAAGTTTTGACTCTAGTATGAGCCTTTTTGCTGGCTAATTCAATTGTAATATAATCCCTTAATTGAAAAAAATAAACATAAATGAACATAGCTGTATTCCAAGCTGATGGCATATCCACATATTAAAGAGCTATTTCAAATGACTCTAAAATAGGGGTGTCAAACTCAATCAGAGAAGGGGCCAAAATCTAAAATCCAGCCTAAATCTCGGGCCGAATGGTTTACTGAACAGTCATAAACTGTCATTGTGATGGAAACGCAGCGGAGTGCAGTGATGACAGCGTGGTGCGGGCCACATTGCAAGGCCTGGCGGGACAGATTTGGCCCGCAGGACTTGTGTTTGACACATATGCTCTAAAACATAGCATTTTTACTCTACATCCCTAGAAGGGTATTTTGATTAGAAAAATAAAACCAGAATACTAAGAAATCTTAAAGTCTTTTTAATAATGTTAGTAGTAGTAGCCAGTATTAGCATTGTGATTTCAAGACTATTATATGTCTTCTGCAGGATAAAGCAAAGAAGTAATCAAAATTTTCACATAAGGGAAAGAGAGAATTATATAATCAAATAAATTGAACAAAACCCCTGTTACCTGTTATATAAGTGGGGATTAAATATAATTTTAAAAGATGGGCTGTATTTTTTAGAGAAGTTTTAGGTTCACAGCAAAATTGACAGGAAATAGGAAGAGTTGCCCATCCCCGGTCCTGTAAACTCAGTCTTCTCCAGCATTAACATCCCGCACCATAGGGTGCATGTGTTACAATCAGTGAACCTGCATCTACTCATCATTATCACCAAGTCTGTCGTTTAATTACCGTTCGCTCTTGGGCTGTACATTCTGTGGGTTTGGACAAACGTGTAAAGACATGTACCCATTGTAGCATCATACAGCACTGTTTCACTGCCCCAGAAATCCTATGTGCTTCATCTGTTCATCTCTCCCTCTCACCCAACCCTTATAACCACTGATTTTTTTTATTGTCCCCATAGTTTTGCCTGTTTCGGAATGTCATATGGTTGGAATCATACAATATGTAGACTTTGTGGGTTGTCTTCTTTCAGTTACTACAGTTGATCCTTGGAACAATGTGGAACGTAGGCTCCCCCCCCCCCCCCCCCCCACACACACACAATGCAGTGGGAAATCCTCCCATAACGTTGATTCCCCCTAAACTTTATCCTCAATATCCAAGGGGGGTTGGTTCCAAGACCCCCGTAGATACCCAAACCTGCAGATGCTCAAGTCTCTTAGTTAAAATGGCATAGATCAATGCAGACAGTCAGTCCTCCACATCCACTGACTTCCAATTATAGAGCATGGCCCTGGCTGGGTAGCTCAGTTGCTTAGAGCATCATCCTGATATGCAAAGGTTGTGGGTTTGATCCCCAGTCAGAGCACATACAAGAATCAATCAATGAATGCATAAATAAGTGGGACAAAAAAAATTGGTGTTTCTCTCTCTCACTCTCTCTCTTTCTCCTCCCTTCCACTCTCTCTAAAATCAATAATAAAAAAAACCCAAAATACCCCAGTAGAGGTGTTTATTGAAAAAGTCTGCTTATAAGCGGGCCCATGCAGTTCAAACCCATATTATTTTAGGGTCAACTGCCATATGTATTTCCAATTCCTCATTGTCTTTCATGACTTCTGTCTGATGTCAAATAGCATTCCATTGTTTGGATGCTCCACACACAGTATTTACCCATCCTCTACCTCAGGGCATCTTGGTTGCTTCCAAGTTTGACAACTGTGACTAATGCTGATGTAAACATTGGTATGCAGTATTTTTTTTTCATTAAATTCATTGGGGGACCTTGGTCAACATGAACATATAGGTTTCAAAGTGTGTGTTTCTGTTAGACATAAGTTTTCAACTCCTGTGTGTATGATTGCTGGTTCATATTGGTAAGAATATATTTAGTTTTGTAAGACACTGCTCAATTTTCTTCCAAAATGGACCTGTTGGGCCAAGAAATATTAAAAATTTCATTTTGTCACCAATAGTTGGCCTAACATCTCAAGAAAACTGCAAAGGTGGAGAACTGGAAGAATAGAAGTGTAGAAAAGCTGTTTAAAGAGGCTCAGAAAATCTATGTACATAAGAATAAGAGCCCGGAGCGGCCGGGCCTGGAGCAGCCGGGCCCAGAGCAGCCGGGTCGGGTGCGGCCAGGCCCGGAGCAGCAGCTGCCAGGCTGGGAGTGGCCAGGCCCGGAGCAATCGGGTCTTGTGCGGCCAGGCCCAGAGCAGCGGCTGCCAGGCTGGGAGCAGCCAGGCCCGGAGCGGCCGGGCCCGGAGGCCGGGCCCGGAGCAACCGGGCCCAGAGCAGCCGGGTCGGGTGCGGCCAGGCCTGGAGCAGCAGCAGCCAAGTCCAGAGCAACTAGGTCGGGAGTGGCAGTGGCCAGACCCAGAGCAGCTGGTTGTGGAACGAACCAGAGAAACAGAGGCCAGGCCCGGAGCAGCCAGGCCCGGAACAGCTCACTCCTCGCCTGCCCCTGCCCCACGGCGGCCTCTCAGACATGGCTGGAAACTTTTGCGGGAACTTGAGGGTCTGCTGAATCAAATGATAAAGGCTTATATCTGGATGTGTTGAGTTAGTATAGCGCTGGGGTGTTGATCTGTGAGTGCCTTGGGTGGGGCCTGGATGAGGCTGGTTGACCTATTTGGAAATGTTTTTTGTGTGAAGTGTATCCTTGGGCATGTGGAGGTATTATTGATATGAGAGAATGCTAAGTAACTGATTTACTATCTGAAAAGGGATTTACTATCGGGGAAAGGGAGGGAGGAAGAGACTGAACATAAACTGTGCACCTATGGATGAGGACAATGGGGGATGAGGAGGGGGCGGAGGGTGGGGTGGGAACCTGGTGGAGGGGGGAAGAAATGAGGAACCTTTGTAATAATATGAACAATAAAGATTGATTTAAAAAAAAAGAAGAATAAGAAAGGCAAAAACAGAAAACTAACATAATGTTACACGTTTTAATTTGCCTGCTTTTAGTTTTTATCACAGAAGGTCTCTTGTATTTTGTTGAAGGTATATTTTCTTGAAAGTAAAAGTGTATTTAAAATGCGTTCATAAAAGTAAGCTAAGAAATGCTGATTGTTTACTTTTTGGTAATTATTGAAAAATCATTAAGGTTTCTAAAAGTGAAGAATTCTAATACATTTTAAAGGAAGGAAGGAAGGAAGGAAGGAAGGAAGGAAGGAAGGAAGGAAGGAAGGAAGGAAGGAAAGAAAAGGCCATACAAGTTGCTGAAGGTGTGACAGAAAGAAAGAATATTAGAGTAGAAATACTTAATGGAATGTCTGAGGCATAGCTTTGCATTATTGAAGGACAAAGAAGG